AAGTATAGATAAAATTAGATAGTATATTTTATCATATTGAAGTGAGTTTAAGTTCAATCCAACTAAAGGGGTATGGGATAGGTGTGGTGGTGGTGTGAGTGGTCTAAGCTCTTAAATTGGGGAAATCAGGGTTTTAGAGAGACTAAGTATCAATTTGAGAAGATACTAGGGAATGGGGGAAGATAAGGATGTTGGAAGTTCCCTCCAAAGGGAAAGGATCCCTTATTTAGGTCCAGTTTGCTTTTGTTTATTGGGTAACTGAGTTTACCTTGGTTAGTGTTTTTTGGGCAAAGTTATTTATTTAAGTAACTTCGGTGCCAGCATTTGAGTGCATTTTCATTTACCCAATTAAAAGGAGAAAAGTAGGAGGGAATTAGTATTTTCAGTGGGTGAATAAGTAATTTACCCATCCTTTAGGAAGGTATTGATTATCCGAATAATTAATTCTTCCCAAAAAATTCTTTTACGTGTAAGAACGTGGGGATTATGGTCAATTACCCAATTAACCAACTTACACCCTACGAGATACCGGCAAATGAACATGGCCTAAGCAGAAAGAAAATTTTCAAAACATTACCTAGCCAATTAGAGCTTAGACCCTTAGATTGATTGGGTAGGGACATGCATTAGGTTGTAAAGTGGGGACCAACTGAGATTGTTGTTATCTCCTCCTCACAATCCCACCACTTCTCGCTCATAAGAGGCCCTAATGGATCAATGCATGTTGTACAGGAATTGCATGTCTCGTGCCTATAAGCTTTATGAATTCTGCGGTTCACAATAGCAATGTACAAGTCCATCCTCTTACAAGGTGTTTTACTTGTGAATCAGCAATTTTTGAGGTTTAGGCTGTATTTGGTTGCAATGCAAATAAATTTGTACTGATGCAAAACCATGGCAGTGCAAATGATCTGAGTGTATATTCTGATCTATTTTTGTTTTAAATTTTAGCTTATTTTGTTTGAAAGCAGTATAAATGAAATAAATTAAAACATGAAGCAGAATAAAGTAAATTCTAAAATTAAATTAAATAAGAATTTGCATTTTTTACATTTGTACTAATGCAAATAAATTTGCACGGCAAATTTATCACCTCCTTAGGGAAATGTCCATTTAATCTAAAATATATATATATATATATATATATTTAATTAAAATAATGCTGATGTGGGTATTAGGGAGCTTTTCATTGAACCATTACAGTTTTGATTTCCTTGTTCTTCTTCTTTCGAGTAATTGAGATCATATTTGGATTTTGTGTATTCAATGAGTGCTTTATTTTTGGCATCCTCTGTGATGTTAGTGGTAATTTTTTCTTTAATTTTGAAACTTACGAGGATGGGTGTGATTCAGAAGAACCTGTTAAAAACAGTTTGTAAGAATTAATGAGTTCTCCTATTCCTTGCAATAGATCAAGACAAAAGTACTGCAATGAAATAAGGCCTCTATTAGATTTGCAAAGCTTATAACAACTAGCAAGAATGACTTTTCATATACTTGCAAGGGTTCAAGACAAAAAGCATGGAATGAGAACCTCCATTTGTGAACTGTAAAGGTGGGTGGTAGGAATGACTTTTATATAACTCGAAAGAACATCTGGACAAAAACGCTTCAATGGGGTGAGACCAAGATTGTGATTTTTGAAAAGCCATGACTTATAAAGCTGGGATGTTGAAAGAAGTGAGAAGAAAGGATGGGAGGTAGGTAGAGAATGGGCCATGGATCTCCATGAAACTTGAAAAGCTAGCTGCCAAGAAAGAAAGATTTGAGGTCCACTCCACTTTAGGCTTTTCAGCCCTAACAATCGATGAAGATTGCTGTGCATTGAAAACCCATTCACCCAAAGTCAAAATTAGTGGCACTCCATTGCTACAAATGGAGTGTTCCCCTTCATCTCAACCCCATCATCATCCACTTTGCAGCATACGAAAGTCTCCTTTTGGCATTGCTTTGTCCATTTAGATGCTTTAATTACTTCCCACTTAAGTACTTAACCCTTAAGGGATCAGTGACCTAAGACCAAACCAGAGGCAACACTGGGTCTGGTCAATTTGGAGTAACTGGGTCCATGATCACATGTATATGTGTGATAGATTGACAATTCTTAGGGAGAATGACTAATCAGACCAGATCAAAATTTTATAGCCCCATAGTACAGGAGGAATGCATCCTGACCGTGAATTGATGACAAATTCATGGGCAGGATGTGATTTATAGGGGAGAAGAGGTCTAGAAGTAGGGGGGGCTGAAATTCAGAATCTGTATCAGGTGTTTCCGTACTTTTCCGCAATTCTTAAGGCCCAAAAACGTTGGGGAGGGCCCACCCAAGCATTTGCTTCTATCTACCATACCATGTAGAATTGTAGAGATTGTGAAAGGGACTTGGCGTGTCTATAATTGAAGTGTGATGCTACAGCTGTTGTGTTCGAATTTAAACAGAGGATAAGATGTGGACCACATTATATGTTTACAGAAGGTCAAAATGGAAGGGCTTCGTTAAGCAAATGGACCCAATGGGCCAGGACTCATCTAACACTCGCTATCAAATTAAGAAGGCAAAAAATATTCCTTGTCTGTGCCCCATTTTGGAGCTGACTTGAAGCATATTTTTCTGCAAGGCGAAGGGGTGGTTTGGTGGATCCATCCATCCAAACGAACCCTCTAGAACAACGACATGTTGTCGATTTCAAAACCATTAGACCATTAAATTTTGAGTAGTGAATATTGATGTGAAATGAAGGCTAACCTGTGCGACTGCGAATCATTCATTGGTTCCATAATTCGGACAACAAAAGAAATGGTGAGAGCTGGTGCCTGGTGGTGATCAGTTGAGAATGCTCTCATGTATTTTGGTTGGAATTTTCTAGCCAATGAAGAACCAACACTTGCAGTGCCATTTCGATGAAAACTATGATAGGTATGATTTTGTTTTTTCAAAACAAAAAATACTGCCACGTCAACGAAATTGCCAGGTGGCAAATATTAACGTGAATGAACTTGCAACAAGGGAAGAGATTGAAGGGGAGACAGGTGGGCCCTTGTCTTACTGGCGTCTGAGATTCCACGTGCGGCAATCCTGACAAGCAGGACTGGGACTCCACGCCTGCATCATCTGAAAAGTGAAAACCCAGATTATAGTGGAAGGTAGGCGTGGTACCAAGCAGGCCTGTGTTACCAGTGGATACCATTGCCTTTTCCCACGCCAAAATAAAGATAATTTAGTGAAAATTTCCGATTAGTATCCTCTATTTTAGGTTTGGTGTCATTTTGGCCCCAGAATTTTAAAATGTGATAATTCAGTATCCAAATTTTTAAAACGTGATAATATAGTATCTGTCATTAACTAACTGTTAATTAATCATTAAGTGGCATTTGAAATAGGCACAAATACCCTTAAGGTGTTATTATTTTTTTTTATCAATCATCTAAATGTTGACAAAAAAATAACAATCTCAAATCAAGAAAGTTGGGGTCACGTTTGAGTGGGTATTATGGTGACCCTGACTTTTTTTAATAGAAAAGGCAAAAATTTGAGACTATTAATTTTTTGTCAATGTTTGGATGGTTGATAAAGAAAATTAGATGACACTCAAAGGGCATTTGTGTCTTTTTCAAATGCCACTTAATGACTGGTTAGCAGTAGGGGTGAGCAAAAAAAACCAAAAAACTGAATTGATCGAAACTGAACCAAAAAATCGGTTAATCGAATCGGTCGGTTCGATTTCGGTTCGGTGTTTTTAAAAAGCTAAAGGTTAACCGAACCGACCGATATACATGTTTTTTGATATATTTTCTATATATTTATGTATATTATATATTTTATATATTATAAATTAATAAATATGCATTATATATAAATATGTATATTTATAATATATTATTTATTATTTATTATTTATTATTTAAAATATACTATTTTATATATATTTATAAATTTTTATTATATATTTTTATAATAAGTATTATAAAGTCAACAAAACCGAAAAACCGATGAACCAAACCATTGGTTAACCGACTGGTTTCGGTTTGGTTCTGGTTACCGGTACTACCGGTTCGATTCACAAAAAAGGCCCACGGTTCGGGTAACCCCTAGTCATGGTTCAAAGTATCGATACGATATGCCCGATACGGGGCGTATCTTTTTTAATAATAAAAAGCATGCTAAAAGCTTCCCAAAAAACCAAAATGTGAAAAAAAAAACTAAAAAAAATAAAGTTTCGGCCATTTCTAAGTACCGATACAATACAATCGAAACTCATATCGTATCGATACTTTAAACCTTGGCCCAACTAATTAATAATAGGTAGATTATCATGTTTTAAAAGTTTGGATACTAAATGATCATATTTTAAAGTTTGGAATCAAAGTGACACTAAGCCCGAAGTAAAGGTACTAATCGAGAATTTACCCCCTTTTTTCTCTCTCCTCACCGATTCAAATAATACACGAGTGAAGAGGGAAAGAATTCAGCAAAATTGAGTGTTCCCTGTCCCCCATTTTAAGGGCTGTCCCTGTCCTTGTAAGTTGTAACGTAACGGACCGGATTCCAACTCCCATCCGTTCTCGTTTTTAGTTTTTACAAGAAGGAAAATCCTTAAGCAATAAACAAAACAAATTATAGGACAGAAATGACTCTTGATCTGGCCACATGGCAAATTAAAAGCGTTGGCTTAAAATATAAGCCATGACTTCCACTTTCCACGTCAGACTGATACATGGCCCCAGGCGTATGGAGCTGATGTGGGGCATAGTAATTAACTCAGTGTTTCGAGTGCAACTGTAGACGATTTGAACACGCTGGCGACCCAATCATTACTCTTGTAGTTGTAGTTATAGTTAGAAACCCAGAAACGGGACGGGACTGTAGTACTGTAGTACTGTACAAGGAGTGGGGAGAGAGGGCGTAATTCTTCGGAAACCATCGAATAAAGCGATTGTCCGCTTTATAATTGTACCACACGTGCCACTTCCCTTTCGACGCCGGAAATCCCTCCAAATTACACACCGTAACGTAGCTTCTCTCTACTCTCCTCTTCTCTTTTTCTTATTTTCCAATTCATTTCCTTTTCCTGTGCTTCCTCCGTTTTCCTCTGTTCTATCACCCCTTCTCTCGGCACCCCAAAACCAACACAGATCCAAAACTACGCCAAAACCCTAGATTCGTTCGTTCCGACTTCTCCTACTCCTGACCCAAAAGCCCTGAGCCCTCAACTTCACTCTCTACTGCAATCCCCATCTCCTGTTCTTTCTCTCCCTCTTGTTCGATGCAGAAAGTAAGATTCCGACGCTGTTTTCACCCTCCGATCTGATCCAAACTAGAAAAGATCCCATTTTTTACCTTCTTTTTTGTATTTTAACTGGAAATGGGTGCCATAACGTCGTCAATGGCGGCGAAGTTTGCCTTCTTCCCGCCGAATCCTCCGTCGTATAAGCTCGTCGTCGATGAACATGCCGGGAAATTGATGATTTCGGACGTTCCGCAACGAGAAAACGTTGATGTATTGAAACTCTGTACAAAGAGAGGAAACGAGATAATTGCGATGTATGTGAAGAACCCGTCGGCATCTCTGACCTTGTTGTACTCTCATGGCAACGCTGCCGATTTAGGGCAGATGTATGAGCTCTTTACGGAGCTTAGTCTTCATCTGCGTGTAAACTTGATGGGGTTAGTACTGATTTCACATGTAGAAAATTCGGAACATTAGTTCAAATTTTTCTTAACGTTATAACTGATTTGAAAAAAAAAAAAAAAACTACCATCTTTTGAGTTATAGCTTAACTAGACTTTTCGATTATTACGGGAATTTCTTGTTTTGACATAATAAAGAGGATGGACATGGACTTATAAGCAGTGTGAGATGTAGGAGACCTGTGAATTTAGATTCTCTGCGATGTGTCCCATTTGAAGAGCTCTCGGGAAGAAAACTTGATCTTTTATATAATTTGCAGGTACGATTATTCTGGGTATGGGCAGTCTTCTGGAAAGGTATGATATTTATATCATGAATTGTGGGGAAAGTAAAAGAATTTCTGGTTTTGCTTTCTTTTCTCTGGGTAGAAATGGCTGATTTATAATGCTTATGCCTACTGGTAGCCAAGCGAGCAGAACACCTATGCCGATCTAGAGGCTGCTTATGGATGTCTTGAAGAGAAATATGGAGCCAAGGAGGAAGACATTATCTTATATGGTCAGTCAGTCGGTAGTGGCCCTACTGTGGATTTGGCGGCCCGTTTGCCTCGGCTGAGAGCAGTGATTCTCCACAGTCCGATCATGTCTGGCCTTAGAGTCATGTATCCAGTGAAAAGAACATACTGGTTTGACATATATAAGGTTTCATTTTCTTTTTAAAAATATTTTGAATCTTTATTTTTCTATATCATTTGAATTTATATTATATTTAATGAATCTCCATTGATGAGCATCCAAATTGTTATTTCATCTCTCTGCAGAATATTGATAAAATTCCTTTGGTTAACTGCCCAGTTCTCATAATCCATGTGAGTAATTCTCCTCCAACTTTTATATAATTTGGTTTCTTTTTGTTTCTAATGTTTGTTACAGCTAGCTTGGCATGTAAATATGATACAATTTTGGTACCGAAAGTAATAGGTTTAGCTAGGAACTTCAACAATTTTCAACGTTTGCATTTGGGATTGATTAGCATAGTTTGAAATTTTGTAACTCTACATTTAGGTCCAGTACCCAAAAACGCTTGAAATTGGGGTGCCAGTTTCAGACTTCGAATCCATTGGGGGTGGGGTTGCCATTTGAATTCCTCATAGTTCAGTATGGTGTGGAATTCAATTTCATTTCTGCCCTGAATAGACTGAATTCCATGTGAATGTAACTACAGCCTATGCTAGTAAATGGTTAAATATTATTATTGGTGTTTATTCATTTATTGTTCTCTTTTTTAAGGTGTTTTGAGTCATGAACTTATATCCTATTAAATCTGTTTGATGTCATGGCATAATCAAAACTTTTATGTCATTTATCCCATTTGTAATGGTCCCCTGCAAACATATAAAATACAAACTGCTCTATCAGTTTTACATCTCTTGCATGGGTTGTGTGCATGTAGTGCTAGATCTTGACAAACTATTGATTCTAAATGCCACTTGAATGCCCTTATCCAAGTAAAAATTTGCTTTTAAGAAGTAAAATGGTGTAGACCCCAACTTATATGCAAGAGGATGGAGGTAGGGATGGCAATTTTCCCCATCCCCGATGGGGTTGGGGATGGGGATTGTTTTGATGGGGTGGGGACGGGGATTAATGGGAATCCCCAGTCGGGGCCGGGGATGGGGGATTGAGGTCTCCACCCCACCCTGACCCCGATTATATATATATATGTTATTTATATTAAACATATATTATTCATATTATATATATATATATATATATATATATATCAAAACATATTTAAAACATTATTTATAATTTAAAATTTTTTTATTTTAAGTAAATTTATTTTTCAAAAAATACTATTATCTTAAAAAATTTTGGGGATTTGGGTCCCCGCGGGGAACCCATCCTCGTCAGGGATCGAGGATGGAGGACAAATTTTATCCCTAGCAAGGATTGGGGACGGGGATGGGGGTTAATTTCAGAGTCGGGGGCGGGGATGGGGAATATGATCCCCGCCCCGTTGCCATTCCTAGATGAAGGTAGGAGGAGGGTTATTTGATGGAGAGTGAGATAGGAAGCTAGATGATGTGGTTCCCACTTTATTTGAGAGAGGTGGTACAAATTTTGCATCAGCTCTTGAGATGCAAAATTTGCACTGCCAACAAATGCAAATGAGACAAAAATACAAATTTTGTATCAGGTAAGAGTGCATCATATTTACAAACAAATGGATGCAAAACTGAATTGGGTACAAAATTTGTTTCTGGTTTAGATTTGCATTGCAAAGAAACAGAGCCTTATGCTCAGTTTGGAAGGAGTACAAATGCAAATATGTACAGTGCAAATACATATAAAATAATACAAAATACAAGGTTTTGCACTCTACATATTTGTATTTGTACTCCTTCCAAACTGAGCCTTAATGCTTTGAGGTTTAAGGTTAAAAACAGCAGTTGAGGGTGCCACTTGGATCTTTATTTCTGGATGTTCAATCCTGATTGGTCTATTATGAGTCTAAAGCTTTATTTTGTAATGAAATTAATTCCTTCCTTGAAATGGAACAACTCGACTTATAGAGCTTTAAATGCATTTATGACTTAACAATGTGATGTAAATCCTGAGGAAATTTGATGGATGTGAACGACTTTGTAGCAGGTAAGTAGGACATATATTATACACGTGCTCCATGAACTTAATATATGGTTTAGTGCAAGTATCAAAGGATTCTTTTTGTGAGTTAGAATGTGCTCTCACTTGTCAAGCCATTTTACCTGGTTATTGGTGCATGCAGGGAACTGCAGATGAAGTTGTAGATTGCTCCCATGGTAAACAGCTTTGGGAGCTTTGTAAGTTGAAGTATGAACCACTATGGCTTAAAGGAGGGAACCACTGTAACCTGGAACTTTACCCAGAGTACTTAAGGCATCTCAAGAAGTTCATACTAGCCATTGAGAAAACGCCGCATCTCAGCAATGGATGTCAACAAAGCATAGATCAGTCAGAGGCTCCTCGGAGCAGTATGGACCACAGAGAGAAGTCCAGACCAAGCATAGACCAGAGAGAGAAGCCTAGGTCCAGTGTTGACCAAAGAGAGAAGTCTAGACCAAGCATAGATCGGAGAGAAAAGTCAAGAATCAGCACAGATAGGAGAGAAAAATCAAGAAAGAGCGTGGATCGCCCTGATAAGGCAAGGAACAGCATTGACCAGCCAGAGAAAGCAAGAAACAGCATTGATCGGTTGGACAAAACTTGGATTGGCTAAGAGTGTCTTCCTATTTTTTTTTTTTTCTTTTTCCTTTCTTTAAATCTATTGTGGCCTATATGACTTACAATGTACATATATAAATATCTGGTTGTCTTGACTGTTGGAATGGCAGCTTTGGAGATGTGATGAGATCGGTCAGACTGTGCAATATCCATTGTTTCAAGCACACAGCATCAGGGATCTGAGGAATCAAAGGTTAGTGCTTGAAATCAGGTTGTATCTCCGTGTTCCTTTTTTCTTATTTGATTGGTCAAGTGGGATGCTTGGGTGATAGCAACAGCCGCTCTATCTCTCTTTCTTCCATGTGCTAGAGAAATAATAGGCAGGTTTTGTATTTCAATTTATCATTTGTCCATAGTAATAAATCTAAGCAGACATCTACGTTTATCAATGTGCTTCTATGAACTCATTAGTACCATAGCATAAATTTCCTAGCCCAGACTGCAGGAGAGAAACAGTTATACTTTGAAAAAGGGGGAGTGATTTGAGCACACCCAATTTTCTGTATAATGGGCAAATCCCCAATCATCATTGGTCAAAAGTACATTTTTTTAAAGAAGAAAAATTCCATGTTTTGACTTACCATCACCAACAGTGATTTCTTTGTCCATGTTTTGAGTTTTTAGTTTTGACTAGGGATGTGCCCCATTTAGTAATGAGATTTACCCAAATCAGTCCTATTGAAGCGGAAGGAAAACTTGGACAAAGTTAATTTGGGGTAGGGTTTTATTTGAGGCTCGACAAATTAGTACACCTATTTATTCATCAATTGTGCTGTTGATGTCTGGGGAGTGATTCCCAATATCATCTCTAATAATCTAAAGAACATAGAATAATATTTAACCTTCAGAGTTCAGATATTTTTTTGTTATTTTTTTATTTTTGGTTTTAGACTTTTATGGGAGTGATTTGGGCAATTCCTTTTTAATGAATGGGGAATACTCCTGGTCATCACATTGATTTCTTTGATAACCTGGCAGTGATTTCTTTGTGTTTTGTAGGGATGTACCCATTTATATCAAATATTGGGAAGAGCCCTAACCACTTCCCTTTTGTTGATATCAAATATATGTTTCTTTGGTGAGGATTCTTTTTTATTGGTTGATCGTAGTTCACTTCACTATTATGAGGTTGGGAGTTTTTAGGACCTGATTCATTGCCTGTTTCTGTTTGGGATGCTATACGTCGTGGGCTGGCCTCAAAATGTATATTGATGCCCAAGACAACCAATTCAAAGTTGGGCCTTGATCCCCCTGGACATATGGTAATCTACCAATGAGGGTATACTGTTAACTCAACACACGTTCCTTTTTCTGGGTTTTTTAGGGCCTCATGTCCGGGTTAGTAGTGCAATTGGGTTTTAATGTTTTTGCACCAGCGTTGGGTCACTCGAATCAACCAACCATACCTTCCTTTCTCACCCCAAAAAACTAGGATAAAACGCAGTAGATTAAGCCAGGCCATTTTTGTTTCATTGATCGTCTTTGCTCAAATTCTGGAGTAAGAAATGTCAGAATTAGCGAAATGAAGGATATTCCCCGCATTTTGCTGTAGTGAAATTGGGCTTGAGTTGCTTGATTTTTTTGAGTCCGGCTTCAGTCAGAGCAAAGCCTGTTCGAACAACCTTTACAGCCTTGCATTGGGAGGGAATATCTCCCTAGTTATGTGCTTTATTTCATGGGTAGAGATATTCCCAATGCAAGGTTACAAGAGGCTGTTGGAACAGTGTGAGCATGGGCTTGCTCTGACTGAAGCCAAACTCGACTTTTCATAGCATGTACCAGAAAAGAATGACTTTTCTAGTACTACGAACTTTGTTGTTTTTTTGCCCTGAGCGCATATGGATATGATGAACCAAACAGGTCATGTGTACCTCTTGCCCAATACAAGGGAAGAATAGGATTCAGTGAAGCCCACGGCAGCAAAGCAAACATGGCCCAAATATCTTGTTTGCCTTGGGATCTTATGGGCAGCTTGATATTTCAATTTCCAAATGCCAACCGTCTTGTCCCACCTAGTGGAGTATGCACTGCATATTATACTTTCACCCCAGAGTTGGCATTGCAAAAGGAATAAGAGGTGGAGAAAGAGTAGGGTGCACGTCAGACCCACTATTCATTTCACGGTGAGCCTGTGGTTCCATGGGTTTGATTCTGTGCCTCTTATTTTGGAGGGATGCCATCACTGAGTTTATGTTTGGTTTCGTTGACGTTTACAAAGATGTCATTTATTGCTTTAAATGCTTATCTACATTATTTTACTTCAAAACATCTTTTTGTTTTTTTTTTTATTTGATTGGGCATCACTTTTAAACATTTTTTGTTTTCCACTTCATATTAACACCCATAAAAGCATGCCGTATCAGCATTTTGTTTCAAGGAATGCAGGGATTTTAGGGGAAACAAAAATTTAACGTTTCTCCAAGTGCCTCATGCACAAAAATCAAAGCATTTCAGTTTCTTAGTGTTAATTTGATAAATGGTGAAACCAAATAATGGTTTCATATGCAATAAATGTCAATGCCTATGTGGTGCGCTGATGTGGCAGCGTTTATTGAAAAACTGCCTATGTAACCAAACATCACCTGAATCATCAGCCATAAAATGCAATTTGGATTTCACTCCATGAGACATTTTTGTAACCTCTTTTGGCTATGTTATACTTAAATCAACCTAGGGCGTAGGCATTGTTGTCTGTGAGAAAATGTCAAGCAACGGCCTATTAACATTGCCGCACCATTTGCTGATCATTGTCGTTGTTCTATTCCATGTCAAGCTGAAGCGTCCATAGGGGGCAATAAGTTGAAGTGACGATTTCACTTAAAAGATATGTTAATTAAATGGAGATCGGATCTGTTCCTCACACCTAACGCCTCACAGGCACTTCACACACATCCTACCATGCATTGGAAACATTTTCTGCCCTTATTAATTATTTTTCACATGTAATGTTCGGAATGCATGGTGGATGTGCATATGAGATGCCCATTTCTGAGGAGCAGATCCAGTCTCAATTAAATTGAGCTCGCATCAGCGCCCCACACAATGAAATGGGGACACCTGTCCTCTCGCATGAACTCCATCATTATGCGTGTGAAGCTAATGGAGACCCCATCCTGCTCAACCCTCTCTATTGACTCGACTTCGGAGTTTGGAGTATCCATATGACCATTCTAATTGGAACCCACTTCCTTCTCCGGTGCCGACATTTGTTACGGCAGTCACATTGTCTGAAGGTAAATACACTTTTTGTATGGAAGGCGGGAAGAGAGAAAAAAAAACCTCATGTTCGCTGGAGATGTATTTGGCAATACAGAACATTTTGACGGGAAAAACACGAATAAAAAATAGAGTAGAGGAAAAAGGAAAAAAAACTGCATTTGTTTAATGTTTCCGGTGACTGGTGATAAAAAAGCCCTTCCCTGGAGATGTATTTGGCAATACAGAACATTTTGACGGGAAAAACACGAATAAAAAATAGAGTAGAGGGAAAAGGAAAAAAAACTGCATTTGTTTAATGTTTCCGGTGACTGGTGATAAAAAAGCCCTTCCTCCCTTGTCTGTTTTGTTTTTGCAGTGAAAAAAATAAGAAGAATAATATAGGAGTGGTAGTTAGACAGAGATGAAAGAGACAGAGAGTCGATTACCTTCCGATGGTGTGATTGCTGGAATGCTGGTGCCGGAGAAGAAGTGGATTCCGATTTAGGATGGAGACTGAATGATGGTGAACAGGGGTATCCCGGATCTTCTGTTCACGAGAATTCTGCCCACATTTATCTCAGCCATACACAGAGAACATCTCATCCTCTGCATAGTATTATAAGGGGAGATATTCCCAATTCACAGGGGATAGTGTATTGTGGATAGACATGGGCAGAGTTCTCGTGGGCAGGAGATCTGGAGTCTCCAAAGAGATGGTCGAGCGGGAATGGGGTCCCCATTAGCTCCGCTGCTCCGCAAGTGTAATAATGGAGTTCATGCAGGGGACAGTCCCGTTTCATTGTATGGGGCGCTGATTAACAATTTCTGACCATTTAAATAAATCTTATAAACAAACTTTTTAAGCAGATAGCAAACATAACACCTTTCCTGTGAGATCGGTTTTTCATTTAGGCTTAGTTTGGAAAGAGTACAAATACAAATATCTAGAGTGTAAAACCTCATATTTTATATGTATTTACAGTGTACATATTTGTATTTATACTATTTTCAAATTGGAACGAATACAAGTACATATTTATATAGTATAAATACATACAAAATAATAGAAAATACAAGATTTTGCACTTTACATATTTATACTTTATACTCCTTTCAAATAGAACCTTAGACTTAATTTGAAGAGAATGCAAACGCAAATATGTACGTATAAATACATACAAAAAATATAAGATTTTGCACTTTACATATTTATATTTGTATTCCTCACAAACTGAACCTTGAGTGGCAAAGGATACTGAATATGGAGCCCAAGAGTGATGAATCCATCATGTGGAAAGCATCTTTGGACACGCCCGCTCTGTGCAACAAAGAAGAGAAGAGGAAACCATAAAAGAGATGCTGCTGTTCTGTGCGCGATATGGCTGTATTAATTTGGTTTAGATCGAACCTTGGTCCGACTTTCCGTAGAGATACCAATTTATCCCTTTAACAGGTTTTTATCAATTGACTCAAACAAAGTTCATCTGATTTCTTTATGTTCTTAATTTGCCATATTTGCATGGTTTATTGAAAAATAAAAGGAACATCTGTGTATTAAACGGTCTGATTCCTAATCCATATTACCCATAATCCATTCGATGGATGGGTTTATTTATCAGATGGAGATGGAGGAGGCAGCACAGCAGTTGGACAAGGGTGAGCAATAAACTGGAGCGCCACTCTCCATAGTTTGACGCCATTTATTTGAACATCTCACCTTAAATCTCCTTGAATGGCCTGTCGTCGCAACTCGCAAGGTTTAGACTTTAGAGATTGATTGATACGTGTACACGAATAAGTTGTGATATTTTGAATCTTGACCTAATCCAAATTCCAAATTTATGTGTGGAGAGAGAATATACTGATAGTAGGGACCCGTGTGATGCATGGGAAAATTTGAAAGATTTAATAATTTTATTTTTTATTCAATGTTGATTTATAAAAAAATAATTATTGTTAATTGAATATGAATAAATATTTTTTAATAAATTTATTTTATTAATAATTTGCAGTAATTTTAATAACTTTTTTATTCTTTTTAAATAAAATTTTGATTAACTTTAAATAAGTAAAAATAATTATAAAAATTAATATTTTTATTAATTCCACTAATAATTAACAATTATATAGGAATGACAACGGGGTGGGTTTAGGGCAAGACACCCCATCCCTTTCCCTGCCCCATAGTCAAGACACTCTATTCCATCTCCACCTCGTCCCCAATGTCATGCGGGTTCAGGACAAAGTAACAACTTTTCAATATTAGGTGAGTTCAGGGGCAAGGCACCCTACTCCTCATTAAGGATGGAGAATCCTCAAATTTCCCTACCTCATCCCTAGTATTGAGCAGGTTTAAGTAGAGGTGTAAATTGGGTTGTGTTAGGTCGGCACGACACAACCCGCATGTGCCCCGCACAAAGTGCGAGTCATGTCGTGTTGGCCCACAAGGCGTCTCGAGCCGTGCCTCCCTCCTCTAGGATAGTTTGGGGGTTAGTTTGACACGGCCCACATGGGCCCATGCCGTGTCGTGGGTCAGGCTAGTCCATGGGTTGGGCCTTAGGCCAGGCCATGCTGCAAACCAAACCAAGCTCAAGGCAAGGCACACACTCCCCATCCAAGGTTTTTTTTAACCATTTTGGGGTAGAACGGTTCGACTATTCAGTCCGAATGGATGACTCGCTTTGACAAAAAAATAAAAATAGAAAAAAAAGGCCAAAAACTATTGCCTAGGTTGACGGTTCGATCACCCAGGTCGGCGATTTGCTAACCAAATAAATGGTTTTTTGACAAAAAGCGGTTTTGAGGTGAAACGGTGTCTAGTTCCCAATTTTCCTGGTCTAATCATCTGGTTTGATCCAATTTTGAAAACACTACCCCTGTCAACCCAATATTCAATTTGATGATAGAAATAATCGAATGGATATATTGAGTAACAACCACATGGTAAATTTCTAAAAGTATACTAAATTGTTTTTAATATTCAAAAATATAATTTTATGAAAAATTTGGAAATTTTATTGTACTTTTGTAATTCTAAAAATTTATTCAAATTTTTATTAAATAATTTATTTTCCTTTTAAATGGTTTAGTTACAGAATTATGCTAATTTATCTTATAATTTCTAATATAAACTAACCAACAATTTCCTTTTTCCAATATTATACTAATTTATCTTAATAATTTGTGTAATTATTTGTTCAAATTATAGTTTTCCATTTCCTATAGTCCTTTATCTTTAATAATTTTCAATAATTTGCAATAAAAATTACATAATTTTTAATGGATTTCCAAAATCTATCAAATGTAATAAACTTTTCTAAAATTTCCAAAATATTCTAATAAATTTCAATAATTATTTAACGCATTTTAAATAAATTTCAAATAATTATTTAATGCAGCAAGGAGAGGAATGGTGATCGGGACCCGTGCCATGCACGGGCGTTAAGCGAAACTTACATAAGAGTATATAATTGTTTTATATTTTAACTTTTTAATAAACAATCCGATCAAACTCAACTCGAGTTGGTCGGTTTTCTAGTATTTCAGATCGGCTTTGGTTTAATAAATATATATTAATATTTTATATTTTAAATTTAATTTTTTAATACAAAAAATAGGAAAATTCCTATATTCTTAGTCTAAAATATTTTATATCATAGATTTAATTTTTGTAATTTTTTTTAATAATGTCATTGTCATTTATGAAATTTAAAGTTTAAATCTTTTGAACAAACAAACTAAACCAAAAATAGACCCAAATCGATACAACCCGAGTTGGTGGGTTTTCAGTAATGGTCAATCGGTTTTGAGTGACAAACTATGGACTGAACCAATCATTAAACACTCCTAATTTCAACTAAATTTATAGTCTAATCTATAATAAATAACAATAGTTTAATCTCTAATAATTATTGAAAATTTATAGCAAATGTACACAATCATTGAAAATAAGTTTATAATGAAAATATAATAGATATATAATAATTACAAAAATATAATAAATACTGAAAATATACTAAATTAGTCAATAAATAGTGCAATCTCATATAATAAGTATTGATTATAAATTATAAAAAATATATAATTATTAAAACTAAATTTATAACAGAAATACAATAAATACGACAAATTAAATTTCAAAAGTTAAATGATAGTTTTTTAATCTCCAATAATTATTGGTAATTTTCTATTAAATAACAAAATAAAATAGATTTATAAATAATTATTGAAATCATAATTATAAAAAATAAATAAATAATTAGTGAAAATAAAATAAATATTAATTATAGTATATATAAATATATAATGAATATACACTGTTATTGTAAAATTATTACTAATAAATATAATTTTGTTGGTCGTTATTTTCTGTAATTATTAATTGATATAAGTGAAGTTAGCTATTGACAATATTATTTAGTTATTGAAATAATATTGTTATTTAAATTCTTAAAATATTAATTATTTATTGAATT